ATCCTATGGTCCACAACTTAGACAAATTTAAAACGCCAAAGCAGGCCGTACTTGAAAGCAAAGTATACGCCAATCTTGGCGAAACTATGTATCAAAAATTAATTTGCGCACACCGATATCAAAGGTGTGGAATGTGATGCAGAAAATCAAGGGTAAGGGCTCTAAATCTAGCATTCACCATCTGAAAGAAGGGAACCAATTATTCACCAATAAATCAGATGTTACAAATACACTTGTTGGCCTAACATTCTTCCTCATCTAATCATGTACCTGAATTCCAAAAATATCAAAAACAGCAACAAAAGAAATCTATTAATTTCAAATCAGATAATGGGGAAGACGCCAATGAAACCTTTTCTTCAGCTTCATACTGCTCTTGATCAGGCTCATGATACTGCTTCGGGAGCTGATAACATACATTATCAACACCTTAAGCACTTATCAGCAGCATCTTTAGAGACGTTTTATATATTTTTGATGACATTTGGACATCTGGAAACTTTCCTTAGTCGTGGCCTGATGTTATAATTGTTCCCGTCCCTAAAGCTGGACGTGATCATGCTGATCCTTCCAATTATAGGCCCATTTTCACTAACTAGCTGCTTTTGCAGGACCATGGAACGCATGATAAATAATCGACTTGTTTGGTACTTTGAAACCTAATAACAGATATACAATGTGGTTTCCCTTAAAAACAGAAGTACTATCGATCATTTATTGCGTTTAGAATCTTCCGTTAAGTATGCCATAATTAATAAACAGCATGCAATGTCGATCTTTTTCGATCTCGAAAAAGCATACGACACGAAATGGAAACATGGGATTATAAAAGATTTACATGGCTTTGGAGTACAAGGCCGTTTGCCTCAATTTATATCCAACTTTTTAAATGACAGGTAATTTCAAGTCCGAGTGGGTTCCACCCTGTCTGACCATTACAATCAGGATCAGGGTGTCCCACAAGGCCGTATTTTGTCTGTCACATTATTTAGTATCAATATTAACAGTCTGTCAATGGTTTTAAACGATTCAATTGATGGGTAACTTTTTGTGGATGATTTTAATATTTCTTGTCATAAAATTATGCATACTATTGAACGGCAAATGTAGTTGAGTTTGAACCAAATATATAAATGGTGTCTTGAAAACGGCTTTAAATTTTCTAAATCAAAAACTAATTGTATACATTTCTGTAAATACAAACAGCATAAAGACCCAGGACTCCGATCAAAGTTGTCAAGTTCTTGGGTCTGATTTTCGACTCCCATTTAACTTTCCTTCCTCATATCAAATACCTCAAAAATAAATGACTGAAGGCACTTGACTTGTTGAAAGTCGTTTCCAATTCAAAGTGGGGAGGGGACCAAACTACCCTACTACACTTATACAGATCACTCATCCGATCAAAACTTAATTATGGTTCCATCATGTATGTTGGAGCCTGCAAAACTTTGTGCTTCTTTTGATTCTATTCATCGCCAAGGTTTAAGACTTTGTCTTGGATCTTTCAGAACTTATCCTATTGACAGTATTTACGTTGAGGCTGACGAGTATTCTCTTAGCCAACGCCGTATATCTTTGCAATATATTACTAAACTATATACTAGTCAGTCGAACCCTGCATATAACTGTGTCTTTAATCCCCTCTGAGGATCTGTACAACAAGAAGTCTCCTCTTGTTCCACCTCTTGGACTGAGAATTAAACCATTCATTTCTTCTGCCGGCATTGAGCTGGAAAATATAGCTCCTTCCCGTCTTCTTTCTTCTCCTCCTTGGCAATTGGTTAGGCCACAAGTCGACCTAACACTAACTGTATTTAAAAAACTAATGAATTACAATATAAACAAGAATTTAATCAATCAAAAAGTAAATACAATACATACAAATCTTTATTTACAGATGGATCCAAGGATGGTGGTGCGGTAGCTTGTGCCACTGTCACTGGATCCAGAACAATATCGTCTAGATTACCAGACAACAGTTCAATTTTCACAGCTGAAACAAACGCAATACTAACAGCTCTTAAGTATATTAATAAACATCCTACATATAAACAATACTTAATCTTTTCCGACTCTCTTTCTTGCCTTGAGGCTTTTAAAAATCTTTCTGGCAAACATCCACTTTTAATTGTAATTATTGAATTATATAATGATCTTGCTACTGGCCAATACGACATCGTCATTTGTTGGTTACCCAGCCACGTTGGAGTTTCTGGGAATAGAATGGCCGATTTTGCTGCTAAGGCAGCACTCAACACTCAGCAAATCTGTTACACCACTTCTTATCCAATACTCTGATTACAAAGCTAGCATTAGAACCTACATCCGTGATCTGATATGGAAAATGCGACACACAAGTAGGTATCAATATTACATGAAATAAAGCCCTACATTGGTTACACCTGCTTGGGTTGTCAGTCCAGATTTGAGGAGGTCATCCTGCGACAATGTCGTATTAGCCACACAAGATATACTCATGGATACCTTTTGAAAGGTGAGGATCCTCCGTTTTGTTATCCCCGCAACGCGTCCGTGCGTCCGTCCGTGCTCATTTGTCTTTTCCGGAGCAGAACTTTAAAACCAGTCATTATGTCTTCACCAAACTTGGCACATGGATAGATCTGGTGGTGTGCTGGTGCCTTTTGGTAGTTTAAGTATTCTGAATAAAATAGTGTTGGCGTTTCCATGGCAACAAGTTTGACTTAGACCGAAATTGGGTGGTTGTGCTCTTTTCCTTAGCTGAACTCTAAAACCGTTCACTATTTCTTCACCAAACTTGGCACATAGATTGGTCTGGGGTGTGCTGGTGCTTTTTGTTAGCTTTGGAATTCTGAATACAATATTTTTGGCATTTCCATGGCAACAAATTTGACTTCGACTGAAATTGGTAGTAGTGCTCTTTTCCGGAGCAGAACTCTAAAACCGTTCAATGTTTCTTCCCCAAACTTGGCACATACATACATCTGGTGGTGTACTGGTTTTGTAGTTTTGGAATTCTGCATAAAATAGCTGTGCATATATGGAGCAGAACTTTAAAAACCTTTCAATACTCTCCTTCCACTTTTCTATATACTCACCAAAACATTTGACATGATCATAACTCGTAGACATATTCATGAAGAGTATTTTGCCATTGCGGGGGATGACTTTGTCTTCTTGTATCCCTTGTGATGAGAGAACTCACGGTCAAGCATAATTATCCTGCTTGACTGTGTTGAATCTTCCATCATAAGGGATAACTATTTCAATGTAAAAACTGTTAAAGATCTTTTTACAAATGTTAATTTTCATTTAATTATTGTTTTTTTAAAAGAAATTGATTTAATTGATCCATTTTGATTAATATGTTTTGTAGATAGATGTATTATATAATTGGTATAGTTTATATTAGCAAACTTTTAAAGTAAAATATAAACTTACCACATTTGTAAACGTAGTATTTTTGTTATTTTAACTGTCGGCTAACTTTTCCTACAATATCCAGCAACTGAAGGGATGATGTAAATCCAGCTAGGGTCCATGCAGGTAGCAAAAGTAGTGTAAGTCCCCATGGTTCCTAGTATGGTGATCTATCTTCTGTTGTTGCCGATTTATAGCCCGTGTATTATACTGTATTGTCTTCCTTAATTAAAATGTTTTAGTTTTACTCGCTAGTTTTATATTCATATCTGTGATTCTCTAGTATTTTTACTGTCTATCGTCGACAGGTTTTAATCGGTACTCTAATCTCCAGTATATGACATTTTATATCAAAGGTCTTTGTCATGTCTAACCATGTCTGGAAATGAGGTACTAGTGACGGACAGAAGAAACATGATCCTATATATTGCTTCTATTTTCTGGCGGATGGTAACGAGCCATCAAAAGATGATATATCTCCCCGGTCCCCGCTTATTTGCAAAAGTCATGTGAACCTTACTCCTTCAAAAGAAATTCACCCAACCCTGTACGGAGTCAAAATCCAACTCGTTTCCATGAAACGGAAAAGCCATTAACCTTTCAGATATCTGAACATTTCAAAAGGCAGGACTTCAGTACTTGGGTAATGCACCTACACAGTTTCAGCTGGACGTTATTGACATGTATATGTCACCAACAATAGATTGATATTTTGTAGGAATACATGGTTTGAATTGATCTAATCTAATGGCCGCCCTATATGGCTGGAATATTGCTGAGTGCGGCGTAAAACTCAACTCACTCACTAACCTAATGAATGTACCGTATTTGCTCCAATAGACGCCGGAGCAACGTGTTGGCTAAAAATAGACTCCCGGGCGTGTATCAGAGCAAATACGGTAATGATCTGATTAATTTTATAGCCTTTGGGTTGACATTATATTATGCAAAGGTGGGAAATATCGTAAAATTGGTATTGCAAAGTCACAGTAGGGTGGAATGACATGAATTGTCTTACAGATTGTTTCCATCATTCAATTATCACAGCGCTAATATGGACTGAACTGTATGAAATGTTAGTATTTACTAGAAATTGGAATGTATGAATCTTTTATACATGATTGGGTAGGGATTGAAATTAAAAGAGGTGAGTCTGAGGAAGTAGCCATGTGATAGAGCATTAGAATTAGAGGAAGTTAAGCATCAAGTGATATTAGGAAATTTTACCTGGATAATAGGAAAAGCAGCAGTACTATTAATTGTTACAAGTCAAATACAATAATCCATACCTGATATTTCTTTATAATACTGAGAACAATATGTGTAAGAAAGCTCTGATCATATTGAGGAAGGTGAATTCAAACTATATACAGGAGCATTAGACGTAATGAAGCCATTGGTACTTGATTTGAGGTATTTGGGTGAAGCGTAACAATTTGTAAAGATCTGGAAATGTTACATAGAGCAGGCTAATCTTGTTTCGAAATATCACAACCGTGCCAACTTCTTGCGCCTCCAACCATTAACATTTACATCAAATATTACTGTCGAAATGTTTATAAGAAAGTGGATAACAAGAATATTATATCTTTGTAAGGGATGCAATGAATACAACGAGTTAAGGTGTTACAGACTTAAGTGTTTGAACGCAGAACCATGTGACTGCATAAGTTATTTCTGTATTTTACTTCCTTGATGAATGTTTATAAGACAGCGCGTCTCTGCGTGTGAGTGCACACCCGTCCAGAATGGCTTCAGCTGTGTCGTTGTTGATCTTCGTCCTTGCTTTGTGGGTCCAGCCTTCGCTTCAATGGAGGGGGTAAGAAATATTTAATGATTGTTGCTTCGATTTAGGTTTTCTGACTTATCAGTTATCATAAACTCAACGATTAATGTTTATACTTGTAGTTTCGTAGATAATGTATACACAACAATATGTGACTGACACCTATACAATCATTTAATTTGGGTATCTTCCTCATACTGAGGATAGATGAGTAGATGATTAGGCATGTACGTCCTCATTTTAATATGCAGTGTAGTGACATAGCAAACTAAAGAACGGCAAGGTGCTCTTCTTAATCTTGTGACACCGAAATGATTTTGGGAAGAAACTGTTTAAGAATGGCGCGAAAACAACGTCCATTATGTGCTCCTTCGCATGGTAAACAATTTGGATATGTCTTAGTACTTTACATTGAGAAACAACAATAGATCGATATTTTGTAGGAATACATGGTTGAATTGATCTAATCTAATGACCGCCCTATATGACAATCCAGTTATATTTAGTCCAATGTATTGCTTGTTAGTGGAACGGCCTGAACTATCTGCATTGCTTTCTTTCTAGCGATGTACTTATGTATATGTTTATATTTTGTAAATTTGGAGATGGTCGGATAAAAGATGCTGTAAACATTCGTTGTTAACATGTTTGGATGTCTTAGACATTATAACACGCTACTATTGGCATTTCTGGCAGCTACACAGCCACTTAAATGCAAGTTTTTCGATTGCTGTGTTGAAAGGCCGACGTCATTTAGCTCATATTTTGTGTTGGGGGTGGCGTTAAACAGCTACGCCTATGGGGAAGATAGTATAAAGAGCAATTCATTACTGATAGTTCCACACAGATGGTGATACTTTATGTCGGTGGCTCTTTCAAAGCTTGCATTTGTACCGACCCCGACTATGCTGAAGATGACATCACTGAACACATTTAGGGCTATGGGCACACCCTACCTGCTTATTTTCCGAACCTGCTTATTTTCCGATACATTTAGAGTTTATAATACTTGTTTTCAGTACTCAACACTCCGGATTGTTGAACGCCGCAACAATTTTCCATCTCTGTGACTGTGGTCTGTAAATAAGCGAGTCTGGACCAGACAATCCAGTGATTACATCATGAGTGTCAATGTACACAGTTACGATGGCATGTGTCAACCAAGGCAGTGAACGTGACCGCCCGATCTTGTTAGTCACCTCTGACGACAAGCATAGGTTGCTGAAGTCAAATTCTGACCCGGATCTTCACGGGTTTAACAGTTTGGTATCTTGTCATCATATTATTTATAAAAGTATTAATCAAATGTATTCCAGAAACTGAAATTGCATAAAATAGAAGCTACTTGAAAAGCCAATACAAATAACCCTACATTAACATTATGGAAGACTACTGAGGGGGAAACAACAGTTTACTATTGCGATCTCTATAGTCGATTGCAACATACTATTGCGATAGCGATAGTCTATTGCGACCAACTATTGCAGTAGTTTTTTCTCTCCTTGAAGTGTCTCATCTGAAGTCATTTTCCAAATGAATGTATACTTTATATGAAATAGAAACAAATTCAAATAGTTTTAGTCCCTGTTAATAACTGACAAGAAACTTGAAATCCAGATCAAGTAAAAAGTTAAAACATAAATTCTGCAAATCTGCACCCAAACAATAAGAAATACAACACAACATAGATATTTAATAAACATTTATCAACGAAAGTCAATTACTAAACTATCGACACTCACACATACTTATATGCATCGATAGTTTTTCGTTTCTACCGTCGTTTAACTGCTATCGGAGACTCAACAATTGCCATCCATCGATAAATCGATGCATCGTTACAGCTCGAATAAACATGCGACAAAGCATTTTGCATGAAATTTGATGTAACCTGTCGCGCGTGGCACGTGTACTTTGTGCACAGTGAACTTATTCACTTTTTGCATGCTTTTACACACCTGAAGTTCACACACCTGAAATTGAAAATTGAAGAACGGTTCATTATTTTCTAATCTCAGAATGTTGTAGAAAACACGTCAATTTCAATCCAAACTGCGCGTGCGTTATGCTACGGCTTACAGAAAATCAGCGTCTCTGCGCCGTGGGTATGCTGGAGACTTGAATGACCTAAAATGAAGTGACCAGACATGATCGAAATGCGATCTCATCTCAATGGAGACGGTTTCAACATAATGGGAACACGAGAAATTCGCCTCGGACCTGCCGTCCATGTGTGACATCACATTCGGCAAGACAACCACATTCGGCTGTCCCATCCAAGGAGTCGATTCCAGACTGCCAGTTTGACTGCTCGGACCATTCCTGGCTTATGTCCAATAAGTTCCAGGCCTGTACCGACTGAGGGAGCACAACATCCGGCATCACTTTATTAGGTGTACTTCGCATTATCTTTCTGGAAATCACAAATACTATTTTTGGCTACATCAGTTTAAAAGAAAACAAACAGAAGGGACAAGCTGCTTTTGGAAAGGGAAACTTTCCTAATGACAATATTTTGCATGAATTCACTAATACAGCGCTGTTTATCAGGCATTGGAGGGAGGACCATGCGATTTCTGTATATATTAACAAAGCTTTTAACTTACAAAGTGAGGAACATTGGCTATGACCAAGTGTTACGTCGAAAGGAATTAACATAAAGTGTTATTGAGTATCCTTAAACAAGTATAATCTTGTTAATGGAAATAGTTAAGTGAGTGAGTAACTATTTAATGTCACATTTGTTCAACCAAATCGTGACAAGAATATAAATACTAAATAGAGTTAAATACTAAATACCTTGTCGTCGAAGGGCAGTAGAATGACTAGATTATCACAGGTATAATTTAGTTGATAAATCATTCATCAACAACACTATATAAAACTGACATATAGTGAGCAGTATATCAGTATTTCAGCAATACCGTGACTATAAGAGTTCCATATTCAAAGTGAACATAGACAATTAAAATATATATCAACTAAGGGCAGTGAAATAACTATCACAGTTCAACATTTAGCATGTAATCATTAAACGATATCACTAAGTAGAACGCCAGTAACTGAAGGTATTTCACTATACTAGGGATCGTACTAACGGTACTTTTGCTTGAACTCAAGCTGGATTTACACCAATTCTCCAGTCACTAGCGACGATAACGATTATACTTCGTTTTAAAACAAATAGAGAACTGGCGTGTTTGAATGCAATCTGTGTTTGGCAAGGGTATACAATAAGCCATTTGCTAATGGAGTGTGAAGTGAAAGCTGAATACATTACCCAGACACTCTTTCATTGGCATTTGTAATCAGTTCAAGCTGTTGGACGCCTAAAAAACACTGAGGTATATTAAAGATCTCTGATTTATTGACAGTGCAAAGTGCCGCTTTTTTTTAAATAAACAACAAACAATCCAAGATATGAAATTTGAATGTTGAGTTTGGTCTTTGTCGTTTGCTTTTAGAAATCACCTGTCTTATATATTGTCACGCTGAAATATATGAGTACTGAATTCAATGTCTCGAGTGGGGACACGGTTTTATCTCTGAATTTCAAGACCCTCCCCGGTTTACATCTGAATGAATCATGTTTACTAAGGATTTGATAGAATGATAACTGCAACTATACCAACAGTGACTTGAATGCAATATACACCTATCACCATGACAGACACATATAATCCATCAAACTTTCGTTTTTTTCGTCTGTTAAGTATTTCATGTAACTTTGATAAGGACTATTCATATTGTTACTTCATTTCAGTTTTCTCGGATAATTTACTATGAATATCTCCACGAGACGTTTGATACCGTGTAGTTTGTTAGATAATGTGTATGTTATGAATATCTGTTTGTCAAATATAAAGTCATTGTAATCTTGGAATCTTTCGTAATGAGAGGATAGTTATATTGCTATTGTTTGATGTTTAAGCATTTGTCATCATGTCATGTGAAGGAGTAATAAAAAGTAGCCTATTAACCGTATACCCTACAAAATATTTCAAACTGTTAACTTCATTTCGGTAGGGTCCTCTGTTCACCAACTCAGAAAAGGGGAGTCTGTTTCAGGACGTTTTGTGTAATTGTAATATGGACTAAATGAATTATGAAATCTGAGTGAAGAGATGAAGTGGCTTGATATGAAAAGCCACTTTGTCTGCTTCTTCAATCCGGGACGATACCTTGTCGATAGCCACACTGGCAAGAAACTGCCGACTGCATCATGAGCATGTTATGATTATCAAATATTGATGATGCCAGACATTTGTGAAAAGAGGAGGCGTGTTCTGCCCCTGTCGAGAGTCATTCTAGAGAGTTATGGGCCGGATGGACTATCTATGCAGTTGATACCTAAGCTTTAATTGTATGGTTAGGTAATACTTTACAGGAAAGAGTTGTACTTCTTTCTTGAGCATAATGCTGTCATGAAAGTTGTACTTCTTTCTTAAGCATAATGCTGTCATGAAAGAGAGCTGTGCCCTTTCATTACAATGAGCCTTTCAAGAAGACAAATTCACACTGACTACGAACCAACAGGTCTTTGTTCTATCTCCCTCCGAATGCCATGCAAGATAACAGTAGTACCATCTTTTAATGTATTTGGCTATGATGTGGAAAGGAGACCTAATGAACAGATACCTCCTCTCCATATCATGGAGGTAGGTCCATCGTGTGAGTCATTTCAAAACCTGAAGGACTTCACTTACATTCGAATGTCTTTCTTCAGTCGACCTGTTCACATACTTCCCTGAGAGCTGAGCAATGACAACACAAACAATCCGACCAACCCAAGTTAACGGAAGCCTATGCTAGCTACATATCAATAAATAGGAGAAATAGGCTGTGAAATAAATACGCTGTGAAATCGTAACCATCTACGTCTGACATCCACGGGTGGACATTTACATGCATTCAAAGAAGTAATATTATACATACCCGAGTATACGTGATATGTCCATGACTGCACGTGATTTCAAATGTAGTAATATATCCTGCAAAAACACAAATTTATGCTCTTCTTGATTTTGTGACAA